TATATCATTTCAATGGAAGATTTTAATCAATCCTTTTGTTTTCCCTTTTAGGATATATTTAAATTTGCAAGAACTTCTCCTGTCCCAAGACAAAAGAGGTCCATTGTGGTATCTCCCATTTTAATTCCAGAGAATCAGAGACAGCCTTTCCCAAGAGATGTTGGCAAGGTAAGTCAGGCAAAAAACAGATTACAAAAATGTGTTTTTTATGAAAAAATGAACGCACAGGAAGCAGAGTGAGTATGACTGTCTTGGTGACAAGCTGGAATTAGTCTTCATCCCTCTATGATAAGAGACCAAATGGTTTTGTCATAAAAAGAATGTTGGAAGATCATTTATACACAAAAGAGGAAATTTGAAAGAACCAGTAACACTTTTGAATATTATGGAGATCAACATGGTAGATGATGTTGAAATTACGTAGGAAGATGTCATTGGTTGAGAAATAAGGCTCATTGTTTTTATAGATTATATTCAGGTGATCACCAGATAGGGCCTCCTAGGATGGCGGTTTGTTGATATGTGGCCTTCATTGAGATCCTCCTTTTCAAATATCTAGGTCCAAGCATATCACTGGGTTAGTTTTCCAAAAACTAAACCCGATCAAGGGAGTAAAATCATCCTAACCAGATCCAGAACCAGATGTGGAAAACACTGTCCCATGAATCAGAACAATAGCTTTTCCAGGAAGAAATAGTCACCGTTAAATGTGCCAAAATACTGATACTGCCTCATCAGTACATTCTCCCCTCTTTAAGAGAATCAACATGGAGAATCAAATTTTGAGCAGTTTGTACTTTTTGGTTGTTAGAAACAAGTGCTCGGTGTCGCAAAGAAGAACCAGCACTCAGGCAAAGAGTTTTCTCAGCAAGGCAATTTACTTCTACAGTGGGGTGCTCCTCGCACTTCTGGTCACTGAGAGAGCACACCGAACAAAAGAGGGAAGGGGGGTTTATCCCTAACACGGTTAGTCCCTGCTTCTGTGTCCTGTCTCCATTGGCTGGAGTTGGGCCGCACAATCTAAACTGACCTGATTGGTTACTGTTTAAAATTGAATATGGCTAATTAAGCAGGAAGGGAGAGGCTGTCCGTTGTGGTACAAGGCATGTTTGGGCATGTCAGGGCACAGCAAAGGCAGGAAGGGTAGTTTCAGTGGGAAGAGCTGTTTCGGCAGGAGTGGCAGTTTACAGAATGGGTAGCCAGGAGTAAAGAGGAGTCTTTCCAAATGAGGAAGAGATATGAGTTACAGATTGGGACCATCAGGAGAAGTTGTTTACAGAGCAGGTAACTTAGGAGAAGGGACAAGGAAGTTGATCTTGAGAACAAAGAGGAAGGGAATCAGAAATTAAACGTTTGAAGAGGAACTTACTGTATCAGACATTGGTGAATCTGGAATTTGAAAAATGGTGGTTAGTTAAATGAATGATCTTAATGGCATTTGCTTTTGAACTGCTAGTTTATTAAGTACACCGTACATGTTGTATGCTGGACTCTAAACTTGGGGCTGGGTGTGAAGAAGCAGATAATAGAGCTAACATGCTAGTGGGAAGACAGAAAGAAGAACATTGCAGAGTATGACAAACGCTGTGAAAATCAGAACAGGAAGATGAGAAAAAAAAGAGCAAATGGCAGGATGAAGGAGTAGAGGGAGGAGGGAATCTTTACACAGATGACTGTGATGGCTTTTTGAAGGTATTGATGTTTGAGGGGAAACTGGAAGGATGAGAAAGGAACAGTCATAGGAATATCTGGGTGAACAGCATCTTTGGCAGAGGTAAGTTTACATGCAAAGGCCTGAAGGTGGGACAGAATAGCATGTAGTAGAGTTGCAACATGCCTGGGTGGCTGCAAGAGAGTGAACAAGGACGGCAGTGGTGAGAGTGAAGTCAGAGAGGCCAGCCTGCCCTAGGATGAGGAGTTGGGGTTTCATCGTGCATGCAGCAGGGGACCACTGGAAGATTTCTCCAGGAGACTGCATGTTTTGAAATATCCTCCTGGCTGCCTTGTAGAGAATGATTAGTGGTAGCAGAGTGGTAGAGAGGAGTGGAAGCAAAGAGACCCACTAAGAGGGGAGTTTGGTGGTGATCTGGACAAAGGTGACTTGGACTATTAAAAATTAGTATTGGACAGGTGCGATGGTTCACGCCCGTAATCCCAGCATGTTGGGAGGCTGAGGCAGGAGAATCAACCAAGGTCAGGAGTTCAAGACCATGCTGGCCAACATGGCGAAACCCCGTCTCAACTAAAAATACAAAAATTAGCCAGCGTAGTGGCACGCTTGTAATCCCAGCTACTTGGGAAGCTGAGACAAGAGAACCACTTGAACCCAAGAGGTGGAGGTTGCAGTGAGCTGGGATCATACCACTATACTCCAGCCTGGGCGGCAGAGTGAGACTCTGTGTCAAACAAACAAACAAAAAAATCGATCTTTATTGCACATTGAAAGAAGTGATAATCCAGTATCCTGGTAACCACTATATTTATCATTTTAAACTCCCACTGTGCCAAAGATGCCTTTCTCTAAGCAAAAATCTTTTCAAGAGTCTGGGATATGATATAAAGGGAAGCAGAGCTGCTCCAAAGGGATAGCCCTGTTCCCTTGGGCAGCCCTAGCCACTGTGATGATCCTTTTCTAGACAGGTTTCCCAGGAACCCAAGATGCCAGGTGCCAAGGGACCCGAGTCCCCACTTCTTCAAAGCTCTTCCCAAACAGTTTCTGAGACTCACGTTGCATTCCAGTGTTTCAGTTTTCTTTCAGATAATCCTGGGCTTCTCAACTCTCAGCATGCATCACAATCAGCAGAGACACTTAAAATGCATATGTCAGGGCTCCACCCTCAGAGATTGATTCCATTGGGGTGGGGGTGAGAACCACGTGAGGATGTGTTAAATATCCCAGGTGATTCAGATATGCAGCCAGGGTGCAGGACTGCTGGTCTTAAGCAATCCTCCAAGAGTGGTTGTGGACCAGCTACATAAGTATCCCCTGGAAGCTTGCTAGAAATGCATATCTTCATGTCCCACCCCAAAACCACTGAACCAGAAACTCTGGGGTTAAAGCCAGGAATCCACATTTTTACACAGCTTCTAGGTGATTCTGATGCACACTCAAGTTTACAGAGGGCTGACCTGAAATATGGTTTTGTCCCCTGTCCACCACTAGTACACAATACCTTCAGTTGCAATTCCATTAATTAGTTATAGTAAGGACAATCACATTTCAGTTGCCTGGAAAATCCAAGTTTACACTGGTTATCCAAATCTGTCATGTCCAGATTTAGACAATACATTATGTAGCCATCCTATAGTTTCCTTCAATTACACACAATTTCCTCCTGGGTATATTTGGGTGGGTTTTCTCACAAGCCTCTTTTCTTGAGCTATTCAATGGGTTCATAAGCATGTAGCTAATTGGGAACATTCTTCTGCAATTTTTTTTTTTTTTTTTTTTTTACTTATTACGGCTTCAAAAGGCAATTTGGTTTCCAAACTGAGGACTCACCTCTTCTTAGCCCATTATGTGTTGCCCATACTTGATCTCGACTTAGATTCTCTACAAGCAACTGCTTTTCTAAGTGTGGTAGGCTACTAACTAGACAATGTGCAAGAGCCTTCGAAACCTCTAGATGTTTTTTGTAGAATTACTGCACTGCTTTGCAAAAACTATTTATTTGTCCATGCTTTATATGCCTTTGAAGGTACATATTTTCCTTTTTGTTCCTGCTTGTTTCCATTTATTTATATTACTCTTTATATCTCCTGTCTTATCCTCATCATCTCCACCACAGCTGACAAGCTGTGCTCTGCAGAGCTGTGGAAGAGGACGTAGGTGTCTTCAGTGAGTGCTGGGGAGGCGGCGAGAAGGGAAAGAAGACCACAGAGGCCGAGCTCTGGCCTCCAGACACCACCACACTCCCAAAAAATCTCTAAGTCAGGACACCTCTAATTGTGTAAATATTACTTATTAGTCTTCGGTATAGAATGCCATTTGAAGAAGAGGTTCTGCAGCTTTAAAAGCATAAAGACGTTTGTCTTACTTTGGCTTCCCCTAGAAGTGGACCCTGAGACAAGAATTCAAATGAAGGCAGTTCATTTAAGAGGTGGGGGAAATGTTCATAATAAAATAAGGGAGAGACACAGAAAAGGGAAGGCAGCTGGCAGAGAAGCTTGTTTATGAAGCCAGCTACCCCTGTGGGTGACTGGATTGTAATCTTATGGGCTAACTTTAAAACATGGTGTGGAATACATTGTCAGCATTAAAGCACCCCCAGGGGATGGCACTGGGATATTTTGACACAAACTGGGGTATTTCTACTCCCAGCAGTAATTGGTTGAGGACTGCTTCCAAGGGTGTAAATTCTCTAGCATATCAGATCTGCCCTGCACTCTGTGCAGTAACTCGACAGCCTGCTGAGGTTTGGAGGGGAACCTTAGACAAACAGGATACTGTATAGCAGTCTCCAGTCTGCTGGTCTGTATTGAA